CTCACTAGTGCTAATAATTTAGGGAAAGTTATGAATCCATCTTTTCCTCCCATCTATGAGTAAAATAGCAGAAGAAATGTAGCCCTAACTAACCTCTCAAGCAAAATTCTGAATTCAAACCAGCCTGGAAATGGCTTGTTTCCGTCACTCTGTTTTGGTTAAGACACACCCCTACTACAATGAATGAAGAAGATATTATTATGATGATATTCTACTACAGTAGGATGGTTAGATTGGAAAATATAAAGTCAGCAGATGACGAGATTTGAACCTGCATCTAATATGATTAGATGAAACACGAATAAAGGTCATAATATTCATACGAATCACTCGTATAGTAATGATGCCTCGCTTAGTAATTTCGCCCACTGAAGCTGAGATCGCTTCGGTTGAAACGTTTTAATATAAACGTAACTGAGTTAAAATAATAGCTCAATTGACATCTAAACTGACTGACTGCAGACTTTCGCGTCAGCAAGAGGTACGAAAATCAACTGAACTTATTATAAGACCACGTATTTTTTAACCTTCGAAACAATCTCTAATCGTAACATTTAAAATTAAAATTTCAGTATCTAACACGTTAAACTGAACTGAGTTTAAGTTTAGCGATATTAAATATAGGGATAAAAAGAACCCCTCATTTGATCTGACGTGTAATAACACTTAGCTATAGAGTAGCGTGTGGCAAGCAAATTCCAAATTAATGTTTTTAAATAACAAATCTTCGACGATCATTCACGAACGATAATTTCTGCGCAAGGACGTGGCTTAACTTAAACAATGACAACATATTATGAAATGAATTAAGTCCTTTAGTTATTTAATAATATATTTTGTTTATACGTTATTTTAGTAGATACAATTTATTTAAGTAAATGTCCTGTTTAAGTAAATGTCCGTATATGACACGGGTTTGATTTCCATTGGAGAACGCATATTTTCAACGAAATTTCTTGAAGATTTAGGCTGGTAAATGTAATTAATAATGTTTAATTAAAAACAAAACCAAAAAACAGCATTTACTTAAATAAATTTTATCTATTAGAGTAACGTATAATCAGGAAAAATGTAATATTTCTTGAATATATGATTAAAGACATCGAAAACACGCAGAAATGCCACGACTGAAAATTAATTCAAGATTTATTAATACTTACTTTTTCTTCTAATAGTTTCGGCAATTTAAATTCATTACGCCCGTTAATTTTGATATCAGTAACGAAGCAAGAATATATATTCAAAATAAGACTAGCCAAAAATTTTAGACAAGAGAATTTTGGACGACATATGACTTTTATGATAAACATGTCTAACGGACAACGTTGCTAGATTTTCATCAGAATGTTTAGTGATTATATCTACCAGTATTATTTTTTTAATTTGTCTGGTCACAACAGTTCAACAGTGCCAACGAACGGAGCCATTTTCATTCGATTGTTGACGTCATGCAAAGTCCTCGGTTAAATTTGAAACGATTTTTTAAAATTAAAATATTGTTGTAAAACATTTGATGAACCTACACCCCACAAAAACAATAACAAACAGTAAATGAACGAAAGTGGTTGTTACTTTTCATTCTTGCCTCTATTTAGTTACATCTATCAAATTCAACCGTAAAATGATGAGACCTTGCCACGAATCTGATCAGTCAGTTAAATGCCATACGTGATACGCGCTTGGTTGTTCAGGTATCGTTCGATACAAGACTGACGAGGCAGATTTTTCCTGCAGTAGGTTGTCATATCTTTCGGCGGTAGACTGGTGCCATCTAAGGCTACAGAACCCGGTCTGTTATTTAACCCATAGTTGGGGAAAAAGAAGAGGATTCATACCTTTCCCAAGGGTTTTATCACGTAAATGAAGGTACTGGATTCGACTGAATTCGAACTCTGCTCTCCGATTTCTCAGTCCATTAATCCACCGTGCCTCCACTCATTTAATTTAACCTTCTTAATTGTAAAACGGTGAGACATTGTTACCAAACAAGCCAGCCAGTTAAGTGCCATACGTGATACACACTTGGATGATCATGTACCGTTCGATACATGACTGACGAGTTAGAGTTTTTCCCGCAGTAGGTTGCCATTTCTTGTGGCGGTAGACTGGTTGCCAACCAAGGCTAAAAAAACCAGCCTGTCTTGCCATTCAACCTATAGCTGGCGGAGAAGAGATTGATTTTACATGGTTATCGACTGGAATTCGAACTCGGCTCTACGAGTTCTCACTCCATTTCGCTTAAATTCATAAAGTCTGGGGACCATAGATGGGAGTTCATTAGTACAATTACCATGACATCATTTATAGAAATGGCACAGAGACGAGACATTATGGCGACGGAAAATTGACTGAAGCTGCGATGCTAGGACATTGCAGATTATTCTTTGGAATTTATCAACATTTTCTAAATATATAGCTGGAGACACAGATCACATGTGGTAACAACATTCAAGGCATTAACCAATGACAAATCATTCAGAGATGTCGACTAGCATTATTTTCTTCATTCGTGTGCAATCACATCGCGTATATATCAACAGACGGAGTTATTGTCATTTGATTGTTGACGTCATCCAAAACCCTCAGACTGATTGGAAACGATTCTTTACAAATGAAATCTATTTTTTTATCACTCACTCTGACGGATTTTGTGAACTTAATTTACTTTCAACAATTAATATATATGGTGATTTTCCAAGTGTAACTTAGATGTGAAACAAGGCCGAAAGTATGGAGCACCCAGTGAGGATCGAACACACTACTCAGTCGTAATTGTTCTAGCGAGACAAGCTTGCTAACCATTACAACGACTCGAGATGCTCAAATTGATTTTCAAAGTGTGGCTTAGATGTAGCACAAGGCCGAATATAAGGGACACCCAGTGAGGATCGAACACACTACTCAGCCGTAATTGTTCTAGGGAGACAAGCTTGATAACCATTGCACCGTATCGAGGTGTTCCTGGTTTTCCAAGCGTAGCGTAGATGTGGCACAAGGCCGAAAGTAGGGGACACCCAGTGAGGATCGAACTCACTACTCAGTCGTAATTGTTCTAGCGAGACAAGCTTGCTAACCATTACGCCGCATCGAGGTGACGATTAATATAAGTCTTAGACATTAGATAGCATAACACATTTCACTCTCAAACTTCTTTTGACTTTAACCACTTATAGAAAATCACCTTGTATTATTTAAAATTCACTTTACTAATTGTAAGCAACACCAGTTGAGATATTTATAAAGATAAACTGGGATTTTACAAGTATACGTATCATGGAATTGTTTACACTTTGTGTATGGTCATAACTTGAACATTTAGTTTTTATCTATATCAATGGAAGGATTTTATAAGTATATAGTCATGTTTGCATCAAGAAGATTACGGTTGCATTTACTCAATTCAGCTGTAAAATGATAAAAGCTTGTTGGTAATGAAGTACTGTGTTGAAATTCATAGACCAGGAACAATATACAAAAGTTTATTGGAACAATTACTATGAAATTATTTATAGAAAAAGTCACATGGAAGCGACATCACGGCGGTGGGGAAGTGACTGAAACCGCGATGCCAGGTCAGGACCAATAACACTGCAGATTCTTCTTTGGATTTTATCAAGAATCTCTAAATATATAGCTGGAGCGCCAGACCATATGTGGTAGCAACATTCAAGGCATTAACAACTGGCAAATCATTCAGAGATATTATTATTTATTAGCAGTAGAGCCCGGCGTTGCCCGGGGATGTAACAGTAAGAAATAGATCAAGTATCGACCATCATAAAGACTGAAAAATAAAATTGACAAAGATTATTGTTTAAGGTTGACGGCCACGCATGTCTTAATT